CAAGTGCATTACATGCATTTTCTCATTTAATCCTTTCAACAGTCCTGGGAAGAACAGTTACCATTGTCATCTTCATTTCACCATTGAGCAAATGCAGCGTAGCTAACTAGCTTGCCTAAGATCACACAGCTAGCAATAAGTGGCAGAATCAGGACCCATGCTCAAAACTGTTTGACCCCAGAGACTAAGTTCATCCCTTCAGGGCAAAATAATTCAATGCTTCAATGACTACCAACTGTCTACCTCCCACCCCCACACCTCAACACATACTCTCCAGGCTTGCTTTCCTCAGCTATCCCAGATGAGTTTGTGGATTTTCATGTTGTCATCTTTCAAGATTCAGGCATCGCTTCCCCTGAGTCATCTTCCTTCCTGATCTCTCCTCCTGCAGCCCCCTGCAGATGCCCCTGGGGGGCACTACATGTCATGTTTGGTCTCCCCCACAAGACAAGTGAGGTTCCCCAGGCTGTGCCCTCATCTCTCTCATCTTTGGATCCACTGTGCCCGGCACAGCGCCTGACACACAAGAAGTGCTCCCTGGCACCCCAAGGCTCCGTGAATAGATGTGGCATTCAGGCCAGACAGCTGAGCTGCCATGCAGCTCGTTCCCTTTCTCACTCCAAATTGGCAGAAGAGAGTGAATGTTATTTACAAAAACACCAAGCCAAACAAGACCCTCCCTTCCCTGACACACTGAAGCTGCTCTGGGAACAGACAGGGGTCACCAAATGGTGGCCAGATGGTGACTGCTACTCCATAACTCCAGGGGCCTGGGGCAAAAGGCTTGGCTGCCCACCTGCTCCCAGGACCTGTGAACGATCCACTTTGTAGGGAAAAACCCAGACAGTTCCCTCCTTCCAAATCCCCTTCTGCAACCAGCTCTCGGAGTGGAGACTCTGCCAGCTCTCACCACATCCTGGGGACTCCTGAAGCCTGGGCTGGAAGTTCTGCAACCTTGCCCCATGTCAATGGCACTTACTTTACCTGACTTCTTCCTTAACAGAGAGGTGTTAATTCTGCAGTATTGACCCAGGGTAGTGGGGTGATCACCCCTGGTAGGCACAGCTGAGCCCTAAAATAACTGAACCCAGACAGAGCAGGGGAGCCCTGGGGCAGAAGGAATGTGGGGAGAGGGGAAGAGGAGCTCCCTTCTACCAGGGAAAACTCTGAGGACACAAGTAGCTGGAGGAACAGGGAAGGGATTTCCTACAGTGTTCCCAAACAAAGAGAGCTGGCGGGGCTTTGGGGAGAGCTCCGTTTCCCTTCGTTTCATTCAGCAGTGGTCTCCTCCTCCCACAGATGTGGGAGGCAACAGGCCCCCAACTGGTTATCAGGCCCTCCAGCGTGAGGGCCTTTGTCTCCCCTTAGACATCTAGCTGGCAGGGCGAAGGGCCGACAAATCCTCCCTGACCCTCCCAGCTCTTTGTTATCTCAGAGGGAAGATTACATTTCTGTATGGGGAGGCAAGGTGCCAGGAGGCCTCGGGCAGGACAGAGACAGGCAGAGCTGCTGTCTGACCCCCATTGCCTGGATCAGCTCAGGGCTGCCCTAGGGACACTCCCTCCACTGGCCTGGGGCCCTTCCAGAAATGGGAGGGCTGCGTTTCAGAAAGGGGGAGGGGTACAGGAGTGGGACAGAAGGGGAGGTGGGCTGGAAGGATAAAAGCAGCCAACTCTCAATTATTCAGAAGCATGTCTGCAGTGCGTGGACAGCCCATGCCTTCGCTGAGTTTCTCACCTTCTCTGTTCAGCTGCCATCAGCTCTTTCCCTGAGAAGTGGAGAAGGGAACCCTGGCAAGTTGGCCACTTGCTTTCATTTTGGCTTCTTGATGAATCTATAGAGGATTTTTCAGCAGCAGACCCATGTCCCTCAACACCAAACAAGCATTTAGATCATTCTCTTTCTGTTTAAATCAAGAACACATTCTTTAGCCTTTTCTTCGAGGTTCAAGATACTCCTACAATGGTTCTAAACCATAAGAAAAAGGGGCTTGATTTAAAACCCCTTGTTCTGGGCCAGGCTCATGCCTGTAATCCAAGCACTTTGGGAGGCCAAGGTGGGCAGATTACCTGAGGTCAGGAGTTTGAGACCAACCTGGCCAACATGGTGAAACCCTGTCTCTACTAAAAATACAAAAATCAGCTGGGCATGGTGGCAGGCGTCTGTAGTCCCAGCTACTCGGGAGGCTGAGGCAGGAGAGTTGCTTGAGCCCAGGAGGCGGAGGTGAGCCGAGTGAGCTGAGATCATGCCATTGTACTCCAGCCTGGATGAAAAGAGCAAGACTCCATCTCAGAAACAAAAACAAAAACCTTGTTTGAGAAGAATTACGGAGAGGAAGGGCGATACACACTCCTTTAGGAACGAAGTAGAAAAATAGTAGCTGGGTGTTAACATTAAATGCTGGATTTTTTTCATGGCTTGTTTTCCCAATCATATTTCCTCAAATTGTATTTCCTCCTCTGGTAAGCCAGGTGGGTTATGCTTAGCAAGTCCATCAACCACAAATATACATGGAAAACCTCCTGAGTGGAATTGGTCAGACGCCTTAGATGAGATCCTTGCCCTAAAGCAGTTTAGAAGCCAGTTAGAAAGCAGAGTAAGGAAAACTATTAACAAAGCTATGGTTAGTATCAACTCAGTGGATAGTCAGAAAGTGAGCAGGGGATCCAGCAACTGACAAAGCTGGGATGGGCAGGGAAGGCCTCTTGGGGGTAGGGTGTGAGTTTGGCCTTACAAGCCTGTGATGAGTATTAATTAAAATGCAGGAGGCCTAATGGGTGGGCAGCTTATTTAGGAGTATAAACCAAACCTGACCAGGAGCTGAAGGGTTAAATGGTGGCTTGTAGGGGAAAACTCTATAAACAGTGGCTGAAGTTCATTTATTCAACAAAGATATGAGTTCTTGTTTCTCTTTTTTTTTTTTTGAGACGGAGTCTCGCTCTGCCGCCCAGGCTGGAGTGCAGTGGCCGGATCTCAGCTCACTGCAAGCTCCGACTCCCGGGTTCACGCCATTCTCCTGCCTCAGCCTCCTGAGTAGCTGGGACTACAGGCGCCCGCCACCGCGCCCGGCTAGTTTTTTGTATTTTTTAGTAGAGACGGGGTTTCACCGTGTTAGCCAGGATGGTCTCGATCTCCTGACCTCGTGATCCGCCCGTCTCGGCCTCCCAAAGTGCTGGGATTACAGGCTTGAGCCACCGCGCCCGGCTCTCATTTTTTGTTTTATATTATTTTGTTTTGAGACAGGGTCTTACTCTGTCACCCAGGCTGGAGTGTAGTGGCTGATTATAGCTCACTGCAGCCTCAAACTCCTAGGCTCAAGCCATCCTCCTTCTTCAGCCTCCACCTCCAGCTAATTTTTAAAAATATTTTGTAGAGACAAGGGCTCACTTTGTTTCCCAGTCTGGTCTTGAACTTCTGGCTTCAAGTGATCCTCCTGCTTTGGCCACCCCAGGTGCTGGGATTACAGGCGGGAGCTGTAATTTAGTTGTTTATTTATTCATTTGTTCAACAAATACTTATTGAATATTTGCTCTTTGGCCAGTCAAGGAATTTTATGAGTGTCTACTATGTGAATAACACCGTGTTGGCCACTAGTCTGTCACCTACTGGTGGATTAGAAAAATAACGCGAGGACCGTTTTCTTTTTTCTTTTTTTTGAGACAGAGTCTTGCTCTGTTGCCAGGCTGGGGTACAGTGGCACGATCTCGGCTCACTGCAACCTCCGCCTCCCGGGTTCAAGCGATTCCCCTGCCTCAGCCTCCCCAGTAGCTGGGATTACAGGCGAGCGCCACCATGCCTGGCTAATTTCTTTGTATTTTAGTAGAGGCGGGGTTTCACCTTGTTGGCAAGGATAGTCTTGATCTCCTGACCTCGTGATCCACCTGCCTCAGCTTCCCAAAGTGCTGCAATTACAGGTGTGAGCCACCGCCCCCCTCCCCCAACTCTTTTCTTAAATTAGCCAGGGAGGCGTGGGTGGGGTGGGTGAGGAGTTGGGTGGGGGTAACTCATTCAGTATTCAAACTTCTACAAGTTTTGGGGATGAGGTGAACAGGCCCTGCCACTAACTTACATAGTGACTTCTATTTGTGTAGTATTTTTGGTCCACGGAGAGCTATCATTTTATTTGATTCTTACGATCATCTTGTGAAGGAGTATCAACAGATACTGCTGTTTTGATTTTATCAGATACAAGATTTGTCGTACATCAAACTTCACAAATGATGGACAGAATGGAGGAATCCTTCAGACCTAGTGCTGCCTACTTCCCACCCCAACGGTGGCCTCAGCCTGGGCTTTCACATCACAGGCCCCACGGAGACTTGGAAAAAATACAGGCTTTTGGCTCCTTCTTGGGACAGCCTGATTCCTCATGTCTGAGCAGGCCCATGAATTTGTATTTTTCAGACGTTCCCTGGAGGACCCGTGTCCATCTGGATTAGGAAACCACTACATTATACCACCCCGCGGCAAGACTCAGGGGGAAGAATTTAGCCACTTTCCTGAGTTCCACAGTACTGGAGGGTGTTCTGAGTGGGCTGTGATTAATTTCCAAACCAACCACACCTCTCCCCTCAACTCCCACTTACTCTTTGCTTCCTAGACGTTCACTTCAGGCTGGAGACTTCTGAAGACCAACAACATTGCTGTAGAATTTACAGGGTCCAGTTCCCGGTGGAGCACAAAACCTAAATTATGTGGCTGGGGAAAGCGGAGATCCAATGGAAGGGTGTGAGGAGGGGCTGACCTTCTCATAATAAAACCAGCTTGTATTTACTAGGTGTTAACTATGCGCCAGGCCCTCGTTGACCTCTCGACTCTATACGAAAAAGCACTATTATCCCCCTTTCACAGATGGGAAAACCGAGATTTAGAACGCGAAAATCATTCCCCAAGGTGCACAGACTCCAAAGTCCACGCTACCAGGTACAATCTCAAGGCTGCGGCGTCTCTTCACCTGTCCCCCACACCCCCCCAAACTGCAGCTATGTCTAGGGCCTGACATTCCGGCGCCCTCTGGGACGCGCTCAGATGCAGGGGCGCAAGCGCCAAAGGAGACCAGGCTGCAGGAAGAGAAGGGCAGAGCGCCGGACAGCTCGGCCCGCTCGGCCGGCTCCCCCTCCTCTGGGGCCGCGGCTGGAGAACTACAAGGCCCAGCAGGCAGCGGCAGGGGGCGGAGGCGGAGGAGGGACCAGCGCCGGTGGGAGTGAGAGGGCGAGCCCTCGCGCCTCGCCGGCGCACAGCGCTCGGAGCGCTCCTTCGGCCACAGGCGCGGCGTCCTCGGCGGCGGGCGGCAGTGAGCGGGAGCCGGGACGCTGGTGCAGCCGTAGCGCGCGGAGGAACCCGGGCTGTGCCGGCAGCAGGGCCACGTCCGGACGGGACCGAGACTCCGCGTAGCGCATTGCGGCGACCTCGCCTTCCCCGGCCGCGAGCGCGCAGCTGCTCGAAAAGCCGCGGAACCCGAGGACTTTCTCCCGTCCGAGCTCGGGGCGCCCCACAGGGCGCACGGTACCCGTGCTGCAGTCGGGCACGCCGCGGCGCCGGGGCCTCCGCGGAACGATGGAGCCCGGTCTGCAAGGAGCGTGAGACGCCGCCGCCGCGGTCTGGAAAAGAGGGGCACAAGGTCTGGAGACCCCGGGCGGCGGACGGGAGCCCTCCCCCCGCCCCGCCTCCGGGGCATCAGCTCCGGCTCCATTGTTCCCGCCCGGGCTGGAGGCGCCGAGCACCGAGCGCCGCCGGGAGTCGAGCGCCGGCCGCGGAGCTCTCGCGACCCCGCCAGGACCCGAAAAGAGCCCGGGGGCGGCGGGCCGGAGCCGGGGACGCGGGCACACGCCCGCTCGCGCAAGCCACGGCGGACTTTCCCGAGGCGGAACCTCCACGCCGAGCGAGGTAAGAGTCGCGGCGCCCCCGGATCCGGGGCTGGCTTGGCGTCCCGAGCGGCCCCCGGCGCCGGAGCCTCCCGGCTGCGCGCTTTGCCCGCCGCAGCCCAGCCGGGACCGGCGCCTCCCTCCGCTCGCCGCCCGCCCCCTCCACCTCCCGGCTCCCTCCCGGGCGATCCGCGCCCCCCTTGGGTCTCTCCTCCCTTCCCTCCGCCCGCGTCTCCTTCTGCGCCCCCTCCCTACGCTCGTCCCGCCGCTCTTCCCGCTGCCCAACTTTTCCGCCAACTCGCGCTCGGGAGCTGGCGAGGCGGCGGCGGCTCCTCGGTGAGTCCTGGGAAGGACAGGCCCGGGGCGAAAGCGGCGAGGCCCGCGGTTTCCTGGACTGGGGAGGAGGGCGGGAGTGGGCGGCGAGGTGGGGTGCGTTGTGTGTGTGTTGTGTGTGTGTTGCATTCCACTCCATCTCTTTTTGGTCCCCTTTTGGGGATTCACCCCCAATTCAGCAGGTAGCTTTGGGCTCAACGCTAAAAATCCAGGACATTCCTCAGTCCTTTTCCATCCCCGCTAAACCTGGGGTCCGGGTTGTGGGCGAATGGAGTAGGGGATGAACTGCAGAGGACGTGGAGGGCTAGGTTAGCTTCTCTTGGAATAGGCTTTAAGGAGGTGTCGTCACCAAATGGCTGAATCTGCTTGAGCTGAGAGCGAAAAACGACTCCGCTTTCCAGAAGGGGTGATCTTATGACTTGGACGGTCTCTGAGAGGGTCGGAAGTTTGGGGAACGGGAGGACGACCCACAGTCGTTAAGCCGAGGTATGGGACGGGGGCGGGAGGGCCGTTCCGTCCCAATCTCGTTCCTGGAGGTGGGGGAAGGGATGAGGTTTTTGTCCGGTGCGGTTCACTCGGCAGCGATGCGTAGGCTTCTCTGGCCCAGACCCCTCTGCACCCCGCTTCCCCTCCCGTTATGTTTAGGGTTGGGAGAAAAGGGAGGCTACGACCCATGTTTGCAGAGGAATTTGTGGACCTTGTAGATGGGGTTCATATAGAACACACGCCCCCTATGAAGCAGCCAGACACTTTTTTGGTGGTGGTGGGGCGGGGGGTGTGAAGCGTGTTTCTTGTTCTGGTCCCAGAAGCTATCAACCCGTTTGAAAAACATTACCACGATGTCTTTCTCCCCCAGCCCTCCCCCACCCCCATTTTCCAGATGTAACAGCCGCATCTGGTTCCGTTTCACCCCACACGGGTACACCGCAGCCGCGTTATTAACTTCCCTCTTCCTCCCCTCCCCCTCCCCCAAATTGAAACTCGGATTCTTCAACTCGTCTTGACCACCTCCCTCCTTAACATTTCTGGAGACATGGAGATGCGGCGTTGAGAAAAGAAAGTTCCCTTGGATCCCGAGTTATCGAAGATCTCACTAAGTTAGTTGTTCGCCGCCGCTAGTGGGTGGCGGCGGTCGGGGTGCTTTCTGGATTGCGCAGAAAAGAGGCATCTTGGGAGATGGGTCCAAGGTTTTAGGGGGTGGCATTCGCGAACGGTTCATCCGCTAGACTAGGGGAGGCTCTTTGGCTGTGCGTCTGGCCAGAACTGGCCTTGACGATGGAAGTTTCTGGAACCAAAGCGTTGCTTTCTCTCCCTTGTGTTATAGCTGGAGCTGCGAGAGCGCCTGCCCTGCCCGGAGCCCGCGGTCCCCTCTCGGCCGCCCCTCGGTGGCGTCACGCGCCCCTCCCGGAGCGAGCCCGGTGCGCTGGGCCGGGGGCGTGGGCGACTGCTGCCAGAGGCGCTCCCTGTGTGTTTTTAAGGACTGATTTGGGACGCATCCCCCGGAAACTAAAGTGGGGCGTTTTACCATTTAAGTAACGGCTACAGGTTTGAAAGCGGGGGGTTGGATTGTCCAGTTGTGTTTGGTAATAGTCTTTGAGGCAGGAAAGCGCCTTGTGGTCCAAAGTTGCGGGAGGGTGGAGAGAGTCAGTCTCTCTCACCCTCTTCTTTCCAGCCTCTCTCAGATTGAAAACACTTCTCTGGTTTCCTTCTTTGGGCGGTAGTTTTGGAGGCTGTAATGAAATCGCACTTTCTCTAGACGTGGTAATTAAGGTGACTGTTTCCTCCGCAGATGTGCCCTACCCTTTGCACCTCCGGACCAGGGCTTTTTTTGGAATACTATCTAGCCTTGAGACTGTTTAGCAGAAAGTGGCCATTTTCCTCCCTTGGCCCGGGCTCCCGGTTTCCTCCCTGAGGCTTGTTTAAAAGCGAAGTAGCAGGGCCCCGTGGGACGCGCCTTGGTCTGGTTAATCACCCCCATCCCCGGGTCATCCACCTTCCTCTCAGTGACCGAGGTTCAGCAGCCTCTGCTATTGCCGTCCCGTCTGTGCCCAGGGCCTGCCTCCCTAATGACTTGTTTACATATCCTACCCCCAGTGGGTTAGGAGAAGCTCCGGGGCTGCCCCGACCCTCCGAGTGCAGGGTGTTTGGGGACCGGGAGGCTGCTGGGGCCTGACTCCAGCTGGGAGGGTTATGAACTGCATCAGTGACGAGCTCCTTGAAATATCTGTTGCATTTACTCTTAGTCATAGCTGAGTGTCAGCTTTTTAATGAGGTTCATCCAGATTGAGAGCCACTTGGACTTCACTGCTTGCTTTTCCAAACATGCCTGCAGAAATGCTCATTTTCCAGGTATTTTTCCCAGTACAGATTCGGGCCAGAGTGGGCACCGCTTGAACAATCTTAGGGTGCTTCTTTTCCTTGACCTCTGGCCATGGAGGATGTTAGAAAGTTCCATTAGGTGGCCCTTTGATAGCCAGGGAAGCAAAGGCTCAGGAAGAAATGGCGAAGTGTCCCCCACTCCCTAGGGGCAGAGGATTAGATACGTCGGGTGCATCCCTCAGGCTGGGCTAGCTTTATTCCTGGTGGACTCCAGAGGGCAAGAAAATTGAATTGAACACTGGGTAGGCAGACTCAAGCCTTAGAGACCAAGGAAAATCCATGGGTTTTTCTTTTAGTGGTGTGCTCTTTGTTTTCAGTATTGACCTGAAACAAGACTCCTAAAATGGGAGATTTGCTGGTGTGAACTTGGGGGTTTAGCAGCGGGCTTCTCCAAAGTTTTTTTTCTTGCCTCCGTTTCTAAAGTGTCTTTTGTCAAAATGGCTGTTAGTTACAGAACGTCCTAGCAAAGTTTGAGCCTGTTGTTGCTGGAGGAAAAGGCATTAGAATTGATTCAAATGTCTTATTCTGAAAGGGCCTCACATCACTTGATGAATTTAATTTCCTCCTGGGAAATTTGTGTCTTGCATTTGTCTTCCCCAGAGCTTTGTAAAAGGCCTGAAAGCACCAGGGACTGGTAGGAGTCCAGATGCAGAGCTTTAGAGAAGATTCTGGTGTTCCCAGAGAGGATGAAATGTCAGACTTGGGCTAGGATATTTGTTTTTCCCCCTAAGGTTGCATCTACTTTAAACAGAAATTGCCTCCTCACCACCATTTCTCTCTCCCCTGCAATGAAAGAAACCATGTTTAGGGCCCTCTCTCCCATTTAATAGCACTCACCTGGGTGAACTATCCCAAGAATTTGGTGGGGTTCCACTCATAGTACATCCTGTCTTCAAGAGCAAGGTTTTCTAGATTATGTGCAGCAGTTGTGTTCGCCAGGCTGGTCTTGAACTCCTGACCTCAAGCGATCTGCTGGCTTCGGCCTCCCAAAATGCTGGGATTACAGGTGTGAGCCACCGTGCCTGGCCACTTATTGCTAATTTTTTATATGTCTTTTACTTCCAAGGACAGGTAGACTTTTTTTTTTTTTTAACAGAGACACAAAAAATAAGCATTTCTCTTGGACCAACTAAAATTTTGCAAGCTGAGCTAAGTAACTTTCTCCATGTTTATTAAGTACTTGCCCCCTGCCCTCTCAACATGTGAGTAGAGAATGCTCACTTTGGGGAAGAAATAAGTCTTACTCCCATCTGAAGGGAATAATGTTTTGGTATTACTTCCTTAATTCTGAAGAACCAAGTTGTCCAGAAATTTTCTCGGTACCCTTTGGACTACAGTTTGGCTGGTTAACAAGGGATACTAGCTAATTGCTTTTCTCTGATATTCTGAGCCTCTTTTTCTGGAGGAGTATCTGTATCAGTTGCTTTTCATCAGCTCTTTTTTTTCCTTCATTCACTTACTCATCCAGTTAACGAACATGTTGGCATCTCCTGTGTACATACTAGGTGCAGAGAGTGTTAGCAAAGGTTAGGGAGGCACAGACCCTGCTCTGAAGGAGCCTGCAGTTTCATGGGGAGAGAAGAGAATGAAGAACATAAATAATAATCATATCATGTGGCCTAAGCACCATGTGAGAGGGGCTAGTAATGTGGTTTGCGAATTTGGAGGAATAAAATCCTCCAGCTAGAAGAGGCCCAAGAAAGTCTTATGGAAGAGACAGCTTCTTAAGGTGGGGTTCAGAGAAAAGGGAAGGCCTGGCCTGTTGCAGAACAAGGAAGGGCAAAGAAGAAAGTCTTGCACAGAGGCATGGAGGTTGCTTCGAGCTGTGGTGCCCTATAGAAATAGAACATGAGGCCGTGCACGGTGGCTCATGCCTGTAATCCCAGCACTGTGGGAGGCCGAGGCAGGCGGATCACGAGGTCAGGAGATCGTAATCATCCTGGCTAACATGGTGAAACCCCGTCTCTACTAAAAATGCAAAAAATTAGCTGGGCATGGCGGCGGGCGCCTGTAGTCCCAGCTACTTGGGAGGCTGAGGCAGGAGAATGGCGTGAACCCGGGAGGTGGAGCTTGCAGTGAGCGGAGATCGCGCCACCGGGCTCCAGTCTGGGCGACTGAGCGAGACTCCGTCTCAAAAAAAAAAAAAAAAAGAAATAGAACATGAGCAGCTGGGCGAAGTGGCTCATGCCTGTAATCCCAGTACTTTGGGAGGCCAAGGCAGGCGGATTGGTTGAGCCCATGAGATGAAGATGAGCCTGGGCAACATGGTGAGACCCTGTCTCTACCAAAAAATACACAAATTAGATGAGTGTGCTCATGTTGTCTGGTAGTCCCAGCTGTTCAGGAGGCTGAGGTGGGAGGATCACTCGAGCCTAGGAGGCAGAGGCTGCAATAAGCTGTGATTGCACCACTGCACTCCCACCCGGGGGACAGAGGAAGACCCTGTTTAAAAAAAAAAAAAACAGCCAGGCACAGTGGCTCATGCCTGTAATCCCAGCCCTTTGGGAGGCCAAGGCGGGTGGATCACCTGAGGTCAGGAGTTCAAGACCAGCATGGCCAACATGGTGAAACTCTGTCTCAAAAATAAAAAAATTAGCCGGGCTTGGTGGCTCATGTCTGTAATCCCAGCTACTTGGGAGGAAGAAGAATTGTTTGAACCCGGGAGGCAGAGGTTCAGCCGAGATTGCGCCACGCAACCCCAGCCTGAGTGACAGAGCAAGACTCCATCTCAAGGAAAACAAGAAAGGAAGAAAGAAATATAACATTATAACATGAGCTATGTGTACTTTCAGATTTTCTAGAAGCCACATTGGAAATTTAAGTTAAAAGAAAGAAACAGGTAATTTTTTTTTTTTTTTTTTTTTTGAGACAGAGTCTTGCTCTGTTGCCAGGCTGGAGTACAGTGGCGCAATCTCTGCTCATTGCAACCTCTGCCTCCCGGGTTCAGCGATTCTCCTGCCTCAGCCTCCCGAGTAGCTGGGACTACAGGCGCGTGCCACCACGCCCAGCTAATTTTTGTATTTTGAGTAGAGATGGGGTTTCACCATGTTGACCGGGATGGTGTCAACCTCTTGACCTCGTGATTCGCCCACCACAGCCTTCCAAAGTGCTGGGATTACAGGCGTGAGCCACCACACCTGGCCAAAATTTGTTTTTTAATTAACTTGTTTAGATTTTAATAATTTATTTAATATAACTATATTTCCAAAATATTATCATTTGGACATGTAATCAAATATAGAAATTATTGATGAGATACTTTACATTTTTTTCATAATAAGTTTTTAAGATGCGGTGTATACTTTTTACTTCTAGCATATCTGTTAGCACCAGCCACATTTCAAGTGTGCAGTGGCCACCGTGTGGGCCACAGATCTAGAATATAAGACATGAAGATGGAGAGTGAGAAATGCCTTTGGAAAGGTTGGAAGTTCCTGTCCTCCTGCTGCCAATTACCAGATCTCCTGAGAGTGCTGTCAAGGAGTGACTCAAAGCACTACACAATGAGAATTATAAATATCTTAATATTATATGTGAAATACAAATACATAATACTTTACATTCGATTGGTACTTTAAAGAGGAGAGAATGAGCACATTCACCCACACCAACCATTTGAGCCTCGTAATCACCTGTGATGTAGCTTCCTCTAAGTGGGAAACTGAGGCTCAGAACGGTTAAGTGACTGTCCCAGGGTGGCAGGATCACAAATGGAAGGGCATGAATTCATACTGTCTCCAGCCGACAGGAATGAAAAGACTCAGGCTGGGTGTGGTGGCTCATGCCTGTAATCCCCGCACTTTGGGAGGCCAAGGTGGGTGGATATCTTGAGCTCAGGAGTTCATGACCAGTATGGGCAACATGGTGAGACCCCATTTTTAAAAAATATACAGCAACTTAGCCCAGCTGCTTGGGAGGCTGAGGTGGGAGGATCACTTGAGTCTGGGGGATGGAGGTTGTAGTGAGTCGAGATCGTGCCACGGCACTCTAGCTTGGGTGATAGAGCAACACTCCGTCTCAGAAAGAATAAAAAGACTCGGCCATGAATTCATCAGATAATTTTTCTTACGTAAATTTTGGACAAGGAGATCTGACCTTCACAGAAGGCTTTTCTCTTAGAAGTGGGAGAGCTGCAAGGTCACGGTGGTCCAGCCAGCCCCTGCTGTCTCACCAGATACTGTCCACCCTTTATGTTGGATCAGTACTCCAGTGAGAAGACAGCAGGCACTTTCACCCATGCAGCCCATTCAGTCTTCATAACCACCTGTGATGGAGGCAGGGCAAGTAATTCAGCCCCCTGCGATGAGTGGGAAACTGAGATCTGCCCCCTGCCTCCTCCCCACCGAGGACCTCTGCATGCAGGCGTGAATCCCAGGAGCCTGGCTGATATTGGAGAGGCAGGGCGGGGGGGAACCAGCTGCAGGGTCTTGGAGGAAGCTGCTGTGTACACCTGCAAGGCTGCAGGTCACATCTGTCAAGCAGTGAAGGAAGGAAACTGTTCCTAAGGGATTGGAAAAATTCATTAATTAGTAGAATGAGAAACTGAGGTGAAGGAGGAGGTGGCAGGGTCCAGACAGCATGTGGACTAGTGGCCTGTCACTGTGTTTTTTGCAGGCGGGTGGCATGGGGTGTATGCCCACTTCTTTTTCCAGGAGTTGGTGCCAGGAGGCCAGGTTTTCTTAACATCTTTGTTTTATAGATGTCAAACCTGAGGGCCAGAGGGGTAGGAGAGGAAGAGACTTTTTGCACCTTTTTTGGGAAAGAACGAGAGGGAAGCTGGCAGATGAATTTGCAGTGCATTGACCAGGGAGCTAAGAGAGGGCGGTCTGCAGCCAGCCCACACCTGGGAGGAGGCGGCAGGTTTTTCTGGGGACAGAGTGGCCAGGTCCAAGCAAGCTTAACCATCTCAACATGACATCACTCTTTCCCATTGGAACCTGAGAACTTGTTCAATACTCTGGCATTTACCATGGGACCTGGGTTTTCTTGGTCAGGTATGCATTTCTGAGTGACAGGCCTGCATCAGGTATATCTTTGGGATGTAGTGAGATGTGGAATATGGGTTTAGGGGTATCCTCTGGCAAGCACTGCTTCTATCCGGGATCTGGGAATGTGCCCCATGCAGTGTCCTAGATGGCCCATCTGTGGTCTGCTTTCAAGGGTCTTTCTTTTAGTTAGTTGGTTTTGAGACAGGATCTCACTCCGTCACCCAGGTGGGAGTGCAGTGACACAATCTCAACTCAATGCAACCTCCACCTCCTGGATTCAAGCAATTCTCGTGCCTTAGCCTCCTGAGTAGCTGGGATTACAGGTGTGCACCACCACGCCCAGCTAATTTTTGTAGATTTAGTAGATGAGGAATTTCACCATGTTGGCCAGTCTGTTCTTAACTCCCGACCTCAGGTGATAACCCGCCTCAGCCTTCCAAAGTCCTGGGATTATAGGTGTGAGCCACCACACCCTGGCACAAGGGTCTTTTGACCAACGGAACTGCAAATCAAGGCTCTTTTGTTACCAGAGTTACCTTGGATTTGCCTTATCTACTTGGTTTGGAGAAATTGAGTTTGCATCAGATGGAGTCAGGCTTGATCAGTCCCTTATTTACTTCCTCCCACCATGTCCTCTAATATCCAAAAACTTTGAGGCACTATTACATGCTAGCTACATTTCCTTGGGTAAAGTACTTAATCTCTTTGAGCCTCAGTTTCTCCATTGCTTAAAAGGAATAATGAAACTTATCCCCCATAAGTTTATAGTGAGGAATAAATGACGTTTTATAGTTCTAAATTAGTTCTACTTAGGGCATCCGTGGTACATAGTGGGTGTTCAGTATTCATTTCATTTTGTCTTTTTTTTTTTTTTTTTGAGACGGAGTCTCCCTCAGTCGCCCAGGCTGCAGTGCAGTGGCGAGATCTCGGCTCACTGCAAGCTCCGCCTCCCGGCTTCACGCCATTCTCCTGCTTCAGTCTCCCGAGTAGCTGGGACTATAGGCGCCCGCCACTACGCCTGGCTAATTTTTTGTATTTTTAGTAGAAACGGGGTTTTACTGTGTTAGCCAGGATGGTCTCGATCTCCTGACCTCGTGATCCGCCCGCCTTGGCCTCCCAAAGTGCTGGGATTACAGGCGTGAGCCACCACGCCCGGCCTCATTTTGTCTTTTCTAATTCCTTTGGTAAATTTAGAAAAATGAAATTTTGAGAAATGTTTACTTCTCTTTTGATTTGAAATCATTAAAACATTTTAGTAAGCCTTGGGAGGGAGCTAGTGGTGTGGCATGTGTATCCCGCTGGCCAAGCACATGTGAATGAAGCCAAGAATCCAGGGGCTTTTCTGCCAGCCAGCACTGACTCACTTGCGAGGGGCCCTGCCTGGCTCGGGGGAGGCAGGGCTGAAGTACCACATTAGGGCATGTTCCGGGGAAGTAGATTCTCTGAATAACTTGGATGGCTCCCTGGAGCATTTAGGACAGAAGCCACCTGGAAGATAGAGATGGTCACCCCCACGTAGCCCTGACAGTGCCCAGAAAGTCTTGTCACTTGGTAAATGTTAACAGCTATGATCCGTTCTTTAAGACCCTGGGGAGTTTTAAATTTTACCCCTCCAGACCTGAGAAGGGTAAAGGGCTGCAGATTCTGTTCTTTTAACTGGGGCCAGCGTGAGCCATCTTTGACTCAGTGCTTGCAACAGCCCTTGATTCTGCAGTGGGACCTCCTAGGACCCTTTGCCCCCTGCAGCTTCTGGACTCATATCTGTCAGATGTCACTTGTCACCTTCTAGCATCAGGGAGAACTGGATCCCTCCTGGCTCCACACTCTTAGGCTCTTTGTAAGTAGCTCCCTCTGCAAGGGAGGCTGGTAGAACTATGGATGTGATTCATACAATTTTAGAGATAAAAAGAAAGTACCCAGGAGGTCATTTATTTTAGCTGCTTCATTGCATAAGTCGGGGAGTTGAGCATCAAGTCCAGCAGCTACTAACTAGTTATCTCTGTACTTGGCTTCCATTTACTAGTCCTTAGCTTGTTCCATGATTCTTCATTGCCCCTTATTTCTCACCAGAGGGACTGGTTGGCCCTAGATGGAGTGGTCTTTTTTAAATTTTCTTTTTAATTTTTTTTTGAGACAAAGTCTCGCTCTGTTGCCCAGGCTGGAGTGCAGTGGTGCGATCTCGGCTCACTGCAAGCTCCGCCTCCCGGGTTCACGCCATTCTCCTGCCTCAGCCTCCCGAGTAGCTGGGACTACAGGCACCTGCCACCATGCCCAGCTAATTTTTTTATGTATTTTAGTAGAGACGGGGTGTCACCGTGTTAGCCAGGAGATCTCGATCTCCTGACCTCGTGATCCGCCCATCTTGGCCTCCCAAAGTGCTGGGATTACAGGCGTGAGCCACCACGCCCGGCCTTCTTTTTAATTTTTTGAGACAGTCTCACTCTGTCACCTAGGCTGGAGTGCGGTGTCGCTATCTCAGCTCACTACAACCTCTGCCTCCTGAGTTCAAGCAGTTCTCCTGTCTCAGCCTCTTACAGGTGTGCACCACCACGCCCAGCTAATTTTTGTATTTTTAGTAGAGATGGGGTTTCACCATGTTGGCCAGATTGGTCTCGAACTCCTGACCTCAAATGATCTGCCCACCTTAGCCTCCCAAAGTGCTGAGATTACAGGTGTGAGCCACCGCACCTGGCCTGGGCGGAGTGAAGTCTTATGCTGGGGAGCCATCGGCATGCTCAAACCTCCTGCAATTGTAGCACACTTTGTAAAGCTGTTTCCCGCAAAAGGGCAGAATTATTTGGGACTTTCATGAGACCATTCACTTGGTAGCACATACTACCTGGAAGTTTATACCTTGGAAAACCTCATGATGGTATTCCCAGGCTTGTACATAATCTACACTCAAAACATAGCTGTAGAATTGAACTAAAGCATCCTTCTGTCCAATTAAGACATATAACCTCTTTTTGAGACAGAATCTCGCTCTGTCACCCAGGCTGGAGTGCAGTGGCGCAATCTCAGCTCACTGCAACCTTCATCTCCCGGGTTCAAGTGATTCTCCGGCCTCAGCCTCTAAAGTAACTGGGACTACAGGTGTGTGCCACCATGCCTGGCTAATTTTTTGTATTTTTAGTAGAGACAGGGTTTCACCATGGCCAGGCTGGTCTCAAACTCCTGGCCTCAAGTGATGCTCCTGTCTGGGCCTCCCAAAGTGCTGGGATTACAGGATGCACCACCGCACCCAGCCAGGACTGATAATCTAATTCATTGTTGGGGTAGATTCACAGTTTTCTTCTGGACGCCTTAGTAAGTCCATGCTTTAAGCAGCCGCCACGTGGCATGCTTTACCTTCTGTTTCTCCTTGCCCCTCCCCTACCTGGACCCTCCTAACTTTTGGGGTTTTTTTTCTTTCCCCAGGGTCAGTTTGAAAAGGAGGATTGAGCTCAAGGTGGAGTATCCATGGAGGTGTGGAGCCTTGTCACCAACCTCTAAGTGCAGAACTGGGATGTGGAGCTGGAAGTGCCTCCTCTTCTGGGCTGTGCTGGTCACAGCCACGCTCTGCACCGCTAGGCCGTCCCCGACCTTGCCTGAACAAGGTAAGGTACTGGCTGGGGGCAGCCTGGACTCCTGGGCCTGGGAAACAGGATGGGCTGGGAGGGAGGTGATATGGTTGCAGGTAATGTGGTCAACAGGGAAGGCTCCTTCCCAGGTGGAGCAAAGAACTCCCTTCCTGCAGGAGAAACTCTCAAGATACCTGGGTTGGTTCTGGTCTGGTTATAAACATAACTGACTTCATCAGAGGTTGGGGTCATGAAGGCTGGTGACATCCATTTACCTGAGGTGACATGTTTGTGGGAGTTAATTTGTGCTTTTCTCTTTCTGAAGAAAGAATATCTGATTAGGACCCTAGTGTCACACTTTAACATAGGTGATGTATAAAATGCAGCTGGTGGTGCCGTGGGGAGAGAATGACCTTTGAATTTGGATGTAGAACTTGGGTTGGAGTACAGGGGATGTTGTAGGAGGTGAGAGCTTGCTAAAGACCTCTGGCTTCTAGAAAATTGTTCCAGAGCCACATCTTTGCCAGGCATGGTGGGTCACACATGTAACACCAGCACTTTGGGAGGCTAAGGCAAGAGGATCACTTGAGGCCAGGAGTTCAAGATCAGCCTAGGCAATATAGCGAGACCCCATCTCTACAAAAAAAAAGGAAATTAACTGGGTGTGGTGGTGCACGCTGCTAGTCCCAGCTACTTGCTACTTAGGAGGCTGAGACAGGAAGATCGCGTGATCCTGAGTTGAGGCTGCAGTGAGCTATGATTGCACTACCATGCTCCAGCCTGGGTGAAAAAAAGGCACATCTTCTATAAAGATCAGCAGTCATGGCTCCATGCCTGCATTTTCCTATCCTTGATTGTATCTCACAGGTCCTGTCTGGGGGCCTGCCAAGTGGTTTGCTTTGGATAGGTAGTGTTTGAGGGGTTTTGAAGTGATTGAGACCCAGGAAGCATGAAGGAGCATGGAGACCTATGGCGTGTTGGAAATTCAGAGCCATCATCGGTAACAGGAAGGACTTACCCGACCATTCTTGGGATCTGTTTGAGCTGTGAAAAGGCCTCTTGGGAGATTACAGGTATAGCATACCTGGTGGCTTTCGAGGGACTTTGAAAACTAATGTATGGGCATTTCTGCTGCCAGAGGATAGTGTGGTTTGTGACTCAGTGGCTGGTCACACAGAGAAGGTTGACACAGTGGGTGAAAGGTTGGAGGTGCACGTGATGGTGTGGCTGTGTTCAAAAGGCTGCCACTCAGCTGGCCAGGGACCTATTTGAAGGATGAGTTATGGGTGAGAATATGTGTCCCCTGGATGGAGTTGGGGGTGAACAGGGAAAGTTGTGTGAGACTTTATAGAAGGTACAGTGTCTAGAGCAGGCATATTCATGTTGCTGTCAGTAACAGAACTGAAGGCAAGGTCTGAACTGGAGCACAGTGGAGACCCAAAGTGGGAGAGACTGTCTGCCCACAGGGAGTTTATGGTCAGGAGGGGATGGGCAAGTACAGGAATAAGTAACACAGACAGACTGTGTTTAAACCACCCGGTGAAATTACAACCAAAGGTGATGGGAATGCAGAGGAAGAGGGGAACAGAGAGCACCTGAGATGGGCTTGAGTTCAGAAGGGGAAAATGAAGGGCCCTCCATGTTGAACAGCATGAGTGTTCAGAGGCAGCATGTATATGGTTTATGGAGAACAGTTTGCCTGGTGAGTAGATAGTTGGGAAGCAACACTTGGAAAAATTGGATTGAGTTAGCATATGGAAAGCTTAACGCCCTGCCAAGAAAACTATATTTAGGGCCGGGCGCAGTGGCTCACGCCTGTAATCCCAGCACTTTGGGAGGCTGAGGCGGGTGGATCACAAGGTCAGGAGTTCCAGACCATCCTGCCTAACACAGTGAAACGCCATCTCAAGTAAAAATATAAAAAAATTAGCTGGGCGTGGTGGCGGGCGCCTGTAGTCCCAGCCATTCGGGAGGCTGAGGCAGGAGAATGGCAGGAACCTGGGAGGCGGAGCTTGCAGTGAGCCAAGATCGTGCCACTGCACTCCAGCCTGGGCAGCAGAGCGAGACTCTGTCTGAAAAAAAAAAGGAGGAGAAGAAAACTATACTTAGGCCAGGCGTGGATTTTGCTGGTAATCCCAACACTTTGGGAAGCCAAGGCAGGAGGATTGCTTGAGCCAAGAAGTTTGAGACCAACCTGGGCAACATAGTGAGATCCTGTGTCTACAAAAAATAGGAAAATTAGCCAGATGTGGTGGCACATGCCTGTAGTCCCAGCTACTAAGGAGGCTGAGGTGGGAAGATCACTTGAACCTGGGAGGTGGAGGTTGCAGTGAGCCATGATCATGCCACTTCACTTCAGCCTGGGTGACAGAGTGAGACTGTCTCACCAAAAAAAAAAAAAAAAAAATAGAAAAAGAAAAGAAAACTAGACTTAAATGGGTAGATGTTGGGAAACTTGAAAAGTTTTGAGCAAGTAATGTCACAATCGGCTTTCAGAAAGTTAATTTGGCAGCTCAGTTTGGATGGCTAGGGGGAAAGAGTGAGGTGCACCTGTGTTTGCGCCCTGCTCTGCCACTTGATAACTGCATTATTTACTTCAACAAACTACTCAAACATGGTACGCCGCAGTTTGCTCATCTGTAAAACAGGGATAAATAATAAAGGGTTAAGTGGGATAATCCAGATGAAGCACTTCCATGTAAGGTGTTAGTAGTTGTTACTGCTGCCACCGCTGCTGCCAGAAGGATGAGGTTGAAGGTTGTTTTGAGTGTCTGGCTAGAGGAAGTGCAGGTACTGACCAGGATGGGGACTGGGAGATGATAAAGGAAGGAAAAAGTAGTAAAGACCCTATAGCAATAGCATCTGTGGGTTTAAGTAGGTTAGGTGTCAACTCTGGGCAACTGGAGACTAAGATGAGAGTGTAAAGGGAGGTTTGAGGGGAGTTGAGATTTGAATCTGCCAATTGTAGACAACGATAAAGGAGTCGAAGTGCAGCGAGGACCTGGTTGAGGTTTGAGAATGTGAATTTATGATGGATCCTAAAGTACTTTCTTTTTTTTGCAGCCCAGAAGGGAGATGTGGGTCTCGGGCCTGGCCGCTTGTGGGCCAGCCCAACGGGATGAGTACAAGGAACTTTAGGACCAGAGTGAGGGTGCTAGTAGAGGAGGAGGGTGTCACGGAAGCTGCTGGGGCAGGGTGGAGGCTGGAACCTGGGGGCTGAAGGTCTTGATGAGCACAAAGTACTGGCCTTGTGAACAGAAGAAAGGGAGGAAGAGAGGTGGATGGGGCTCTTAGGAGGCCATGTACCCAGGAAGACTGACATTAAATGACCATTGTTTAAAAATCAACTTAACTGGCAAAGGCACAGTGGCTCCCACCTATAATCCCAGTACTTTGGGAGGCAGAGACGGGAGGATCACTTGAGCCCAGGAGTTTAAGATCAGCCTGGGCAACATAGCAAGCAAGACCTCATCTTTATAAAAAATAAAAAAAGGTAGCTGAATGTGGTGGTACACGCCAGTAGTACCAGCTCTTTGGGAGGCTGAGGCAAAAGGATCACTTGTGCCCAGGAGTTTGAGGCTATAGCGAGCTGTAATTACCCCACTGCATTCTACCCTGAGTGACAGAGCAAGACCTTAAAAAAAGTGGGTTTTGTTTGTTTGTTTTCTTAAAGAGACAGAGTTTCGCTCTGTTACCCAGGCTGGAGTGCAGTGGCATGATCTTGGCTCACTGCAACCTCTGCCTCCTGGGTTCAAGTGATTCTCCTGCCTCAGCCTCCTAAGTAGCTGGAATTACAGGTTCTCGCCACTATGCCTGGCTAACTTTTATATTTGTAGTAGAGATGGGTTTCGCCCTGTTGGCCAGGCTGGCCTTGAACTCCTGACCTCAAATGATCCACCCACCTTGGCTTCCCAAAGTGCTGGGACTGTAAGTGTGAGCCACCGTACCTGGCCAAACCAACTTAATTTAGGTATAACTTACCCACTATAAAATACAACTGTTTTAAGTGCGTAGTTTGATGTGTTTTGATAAATGTCTACACCCCGTGTAACTATGACCCCAATCAAGCGATGAAACATTTTCCTCATGCCCTTTTGCAGTCCGTCCCATATTTGTTGGGTCACCTGTATTTGGGTTAACAGTTTGGGCTATTAATAAAACTGCTGTGAACTTTCATGTGCAAGCAAGCCTGTGTGGGCACACATTTTCCTTGGACTGCCCTGGTTTTGATTTTGGCTCCACACCTTACTGACTGTTGGCTCTTGGGAAAGTTCCTCTTTGTGCCCTTTTATAAAATATATTGATAATGAATGTGTGCTCATAAAGTTTTTGTAAATGCCATATGAGTATGTCTGCAGAGCTCATAGGATCCTGCCTGGTCCTAGGCTGTGAGCAGTCAATGGCAGTTGTGGGTCCCTTTTCTTGGGCCTCCAGGGGAGGCAGCACATGGCGAGGAGCACGTTGTTTCATGGGACACAGCAACGGAAAGCCGCTGCACTTGGAGAACAAGCCCCAGGTCTCCATTTGGTGGAGTAAACCCCATCTCAGTGTGAGTGTGTTGCTTTCATTCACATAGCCTGTCTCTCATGAGCTTTCTGACAGAACAGAGAACTGCTGTGGCCAGGACCTTCTAAGGGGAGATCTGGCTTCATGCTTTGTAAGCCGTAAGGAACTTCGTAAGTGTAAAGTGTATTATATAGTCTTGGGCCTGCTGATTATTAAATAATGCTGCTGCTATATTTAAAAATTTATTTATTTATTTATTTATTTATTTGAGACGGAGTCTCACTCTGTTGCCTGGCTGGAGTACAGTGGCACATTCTCAGCTCACCGCAACCTCCACCTCCTGTGTTCAAGCGATTCTTCTGCCTCAGCCTCCTGAGTAGCTGGGATTACAGGCATGTGCCACCATGCCCAGCTAGTTTTTTTTTGTATATTTAGTAGAGACGGGGTTTCACCATGTTGGCTAGGATGGTCTCGATCTTCTGACCTCATGATCCACCCACCTCAGCTTCCCACAGTGCTGGGATTACAGC